GGAGGGGGGAAAAACGGGAAGGGAGATGGACAGAAGGGACAGCCATCCACTGCAGTGTCCACCCTCTCCCGCCTTTAACAAAAAGGAAAGGACGGGGGAAGTGCGAGTGGACACATTTGTGGAGAATAAGACGGAGATGAAGAGAAAGACGACCTCCAGGTGGAATTCTTGGGGGGGAGCCGCCAATTAACCCCGGCCGCCACATCGCACATTACACCACCCCCCCCCCCGCTGTCCTTTCCTGTGTAACGTGCCACAGACACACACACACACACACGCACGCACAATGTCATTCTAGAAATCCTCCCGCATTGTTTCACCTTGCTGTGGATCGATTGGGAATGAACCCTCTTCAGACGCGTGCAGCGTCCTCAGGTTGTGCTTTTAAATGCACTGTTGTGTGTGTGAAGGGAGCCAGAAACACGATTATCTGAGGCTGATTTTAGTACATCAAGTATCCAAAATACGTCATTATAAAGCTCAGGGGACAAAGTGAGAGAAATGAATTTGCATACCGTAAAAAACCTGCATTAACGGCATAAACAACGAATTAAACATTCTCACGTTGTCAAAACTCTGTTTTGTCCCCCGAAATATCTTTAACTGCTAAATCCTCCACTTTATAAAGGAGTTGCAGTCCGATTGGTTCAGAGCCGGGACACAATACCCACATGCCAATAGCGTGCAGTCTACTTCTTTGCACTTTAGGTATCACTGGTCAGCAGAAGTTCAACCCCCCCCTAAAAAGGAACAACATTTTAAGTCAAATGTCAATATACAGCCCACCTACTAGATCCAGAACCAGACGTAGATTATTTTTAAAAGCTTTGTGCCGCACTCCCCAACTACTCAGTTACTAAACAAATACACATGGAACCTCCTAAACTGTGCTGGCCCCCCCCCAGTTCAAATATAATCTCCCCGATCGGCGGTGACCCCGTGACCTTGTGAGTCACACGTGACATCATACAGCAGGTCTCACAGACTCGTAAACCACCAGACCTCGTTCCAACGTGTTTAAGGTCAAGCGGAAACAGCAGAGGGGGGTTTAGCGGCGGGTATCTGCGGTACGTTCGTGACGCCATCGTGAGTTTCTACCCATGATGAAGGCTCGCACCTCCTCCGTCATGTCATCTGCCATGTAAGATGCCAGCGGCGGGTTAATCTATGCCAGGTTATCTAGAAAGCAACCGTGTCTTTTTAATTAGAGGACACAGATCTGCAGGACCGATCCGTCTCTGCCGCCCCCCCCGAGGTTCCTCCAGTCACAGTCTGCTGGTAAACGGACGGAACGCCAAAAGCCAAACGAGCCGTCAAAGACACACGCTGGAAGACGACAGAACTGCTGTTCGGACACTTTGCTTGAATTGACCCTGCAAACAGAAAACAGAAGCTGTACCGAATGAGCCGCGAGCAGGAAGAGAACCAAACGCAGGGCAGCGGAATCACCCCAAAGATTAAAAAAGGACATGTGAACAGCGCTGATTGGACTTCCTGTCGCACAAAGGCGAGCCTGCTCGGCCCTGTTTGTGTGCGTGTGTTTGTTTATACGCTGCTAATTGTGGCCCGGAGCGGAGCAGGCGAGGCTCGGCTCTGACAGACAGTGACGCCGGGGCCTCTGGGGCCCCGAACCTTCTCACACCAGCAGCCGCTAACAAGCGGACGAATCAGCCCCCCCCTCCCCCCTCTCGATAAGTAAAACCACGTATATACGATTGACGGGGAAGTCCAAATTAATGACCCGA